CAGGGCGCATGCCCAGGCTGTGAGCCTGATCCCCAGTGGGGGGCATGCAGGAGGCGGCCAATCGATGTTCTCTCTCATCAATGTTTCTATCTCTCTCTCCCTTTCCCTTCCTCTCTAATTACAGTGATACCTCGGTTCTCGAACGCCTTGGTTTTCGACCAAATCAGGATTCGAGAAACTTTTGTCTCAGAATCAGAACAAATATTTGGAACTCGAACTTCCGAGTTGAGCCGAATGGCGTTCATTCGGCCCAGCGCGCCTTGCTTGCGTCATCAGTGTGAGAGCAGAGAGAGAGTCACGCTTTGTGGAGTCCGCTTTCCTATTGGGTTTCATTGCTTCGGTTCTCGAACAATTCGGTTCTCGACCGTCCTCCTGGAACGAATTATGTTCGAGAACCGAGGTATCACTGTAATAAAGGAAAAAACAAAAAATTTTTTAAAGAAAAATATCCTCAGGTGAGGATGAAAAACAAACAACTTACTGGTGGACCTGAATGAAAGAGCATGGAGACAGAGAAAGGGTTTAATGAACTGGAATAAATTCATAAAACTTATCTACTGTAAAGAGGCACTTTTTTTTTTTTAATAACATAAGCTTCTAGGACTCATGAGACGATCTCAAGAGGTCTGATATACATGTAATTGGAGTCCCAGAAAGGGGAGAGAAAGTGGGGAATATAAAAATATTTGAGTAAATAATGGACCCAAACTTCTGGAATTTGGTGAAAGACATAAATTTACAGTTTGAAAAGCTCAGTGAATCCCAAATTGTGATAAATGTGATTTTTTAAAAAAGCAAACAAACAGCCCTGGCCGGTTTGGATCAGTGGTTAGAGCATCAGCCTGCGGTCCAGAGAGACCTGGGTTCGGTTCCCGCTAAGGGCACGTACCTCGGTTGCAGTTTATCCCCGGCCCTGATTGGGTTGTGCGGGTGGCAGCCACTCAATGTGTCCCTTTCACATCGATGTTTCTCTCTCTCTCTCTCCCCCACTCTATCTGAACAAAAAATGAAAAAAATGTCCTCGGGTGAGGATAAAAATAAAATAAAATAAAATAAAAAATAAAAAGCAAACAAACAAAAAAACCCTGCCTGGACATATTATAGTCAAAACAAAAATAAAAAAATAAAGAAAAAAATCTTGAAAGTATCCTGACAAAAAACAACACAATATCCTGAACAGAGGAACCACGATTCGAATGGTCCTGGATTTCTCATCAGAAATGATGGAGGGCGGGAGACGGTGAAACAACATCTTTTGTGGTTTTTAAAAATATTTGTTTGTTTGTTTGTTTATGTATTTAAATCCTCACCGGAGGATATGTTTTTCATTGGTTTTGGAGAGAGGGAGAGAGAGAGAGAAATATCGATTTGTTATTGCTCTCATTTATGCATTCATTGGTTGATGCTTGTATGTGCCCTGACTGGGGATCGAACCCGCAACCTTGGCATAGCAGGGCAGTGCTCTTACCAACTGAGCTGCCTGGCTAGGCCCTGAAACATCTTTAAAATGCTTGAAAGGTATGGAAAACAATATGGTGCTACCTCAAAATAATTAAAAATTTAACTTCCATTTGACCCAGTGATCCCACTTCTAGGAATATACCCTAAGAAGCCTGAAACACCAATCAGAAAGAATATATGTATCCCATGTTTGTAGCAGCACTATTTACAATAGCTAAGATCTGGAAACAGCCCAAGCGTCCATCAGTAGACGAATGGATATAAAAGCAGTGGTACATATACACAATGGAGTACTATACAGCTGTAAGAAAGAAGATCTCTGATCCTTTGAGACAACATGGACGGACCTGGAAAGTATTATCCTAAGCAAAACAAGCCAAACAGAGAAATACAAGTATCATATGATCTCACTTATTTGTGGAATATAATGAACATAACAGTCTGAGGAATGGGGTAGTCCCAGAGACATGGAAGTGGGGTACAGACTGACAATCCCCAGAAGAGGGGGTGGTGGGGGAGAGATAAACCACAGAACTTATATGCATGTATGCATGAACAATGGACATGGACAACAAACTCGGGACAGGGCGGGGAGGGAGGGGAAGGGGGGAATCAGTGGGGGAAAAGGAGAAACATCTGTAACAAAAATAAATTAATTTAAAAAATAAAAATAAAAAATGCTTGAAAGGCCCAGCCAGTGGGGCTCAGTGGATTGAGCTTGAGCGTTGTCCCATGGACTGAAAGGTCCCAGTTCAATTCCCCGTCAGGGCAAATGCCCAGTTGTGGGCTCCATCCCTGGTCGGGGCATGCAGGAGGCAGCTGGTCCATGTTTCTCTCTCTCTCTCTCTCCCTTCTTCTCTCTCTAAAAAATCAATAAAAAGATTAAACTACTACTACTACTACTACTACTACTACTAATAATAATAATAAAATGCTTGAAAGGAAACAGTCGACCATAGAAGTCTATAACCAGTGAAAATAGGTGTTTTCAGATACAACGAAGAGAATTTGTTGGGGCAGAAACACACTGTAAAAAGCTCAGCAAGCTTCGGGCTCCCAGGAGATTGTCCCAGGAGCAACGTGGGACTCCAGACGCACTGACGAGCGCTGGGAACGGGAGCCAAACGGGGAAGTTTTTTAAAAGACTTTTTTCCTCTCAATGTATTCGAAGTACAGATGACTAAAGCAAACGTGGTGACGTCGTCTTGTGGACTTTGTCATGGGTGTAGACAGAATTCACGCGACAGCTACAGCACAGACTAACGGAGCGGAGAGGATCGGCGGCCTGAGAGGTGACAAGGTCGCTGCACTGTCCGGGAAGGGGTGTAAGGGCTCTGGGCAGGTGAGGGTGTGGCTGTCATTCCTAGAGCACCACTGAAGAAATGACAAAACTCCAAAGGAGAAATGGAAAAGAAGCCTCCAAACTATTCAGATAATCCAAGAGAAAGCGGGAGAGAGGAAACAGGAACAAAATTGGGACGGATGGAAAACAATAAATTGATCGACCTAATCCGGCCACATTGATAACTCCACGAACTGTTACTGGTAAAGGAGGTGCTGGACCGCAGTGAGGACCCAGCAGAGCTTTGCTGTCAGACAGCTGGGTGTGACCGCCCCCTGTGGGGCCTTGGGCCTGTGCACAAGTATTTAAGCATGAAGAAAAGTAGGGTAATAAAGTGAACACCCAGCCCTGGCCGGTTTTCCCAGTGGTTAGAGCCATCGACCCTCGGACAGAGGATCCCAGGTTGGATTCCTGGTCGTGTACCTGGGTTGCCGGTTCAATCCCTGTGCAGGAGGCAACCAATCGATGTTTCTCTCTCTACCTCCCTCTCTCTTCCCCCCTCCCTCTCTTTCACTCTCTCTTTTTTTTATCCTCACACGAAGACATTTTTTTTTGTTTTTGTGTTTTTATCTTCAGATAGAGCGGGAGGGGAAGAGAGAGAGAGAGAGAGAGAGAAACATCAATGTGAGAGAGACATATCAACTGGTTACAGGACCCCAACTGGAGTCAGGGACAAACTGCAAGTGAGGTACGTGCCCTTAGTGGGAACCAAACCCAGGTCTCACTCTTTAAAAAAAGAGGAAGCCCTGGCCAGTTTGGCTCAGTGGTTAGAGCGTCAGCCTGTGGTCCAGAGAGACCCGGGTTCGGTTCCTGCTAAGGGCATGAACCTCAGTTGCAGTTTGTCCCCGGCCCTGGTTGGGGTCATGCGGGAGGCGGCCACTCGATGTGTCCCTTTCACCTTGATGTTTCTCTCTCTCTCTCTCCCTCCCACTCTACCTGAACAAAAATGGAAACATGTCCTTGAGTGAGGATAAAAAAAAGGAAAAAATATCCTTGGATGAGGATTAACAATAAACGATTTAAAAAATTAAAATGAATACCCTCATCATTTTGCCACTTGCTTTTTCATCTTTATTCGTAGTGATAGGGTTCTAGTTCAAATTAACCACTGTCTATTCTGTTGCATGAATACAGCTGACCTGATTTTCCCTTGTTGACTACTGTCGGATACTTAAGACAACTGGTTTTGTGCTCTGCCAACACTTGAACCCGGGCACATGCACTCCTAAGGGAGCCCCCCAGGAAGGCAAATGCTGGCGTAGGCATGTTGCAGCCTCAGCTTGGCAGGGTTTTGACAAATGCGTCTCAAAAGTGATGGTTCCCTTTATCTGCCCCTGGCCTTGTAGAAGGGCGATTTCCCCTTTTCCAGTGAGGACTGCAGGAAGGGGCGGAGCTGGGATCCGAACCTGTGTGTGCAGGTCGTGCGTGGAAGAGGGCACGGGAAAGCATTTGGCCCGTTGCTGTTTTCAGGAAGAGAACCACAGGAGCATCCTTCTTTTTTTTTTTTTATCCTCACCCGAGGATACTTTTCCATTTTTTGTACAGATAGAGTGGGAGGGAGAGAGAGAAACAGGGAGAGAGAGAAAAACATCGACGTGAAAGGGACACATCGAGTGGTCGCCACCCGCACGACCAACCAGGGCCGGGGACAAACTGCAACCGAGGTACATGCCCTTAGCGGGAACCGAACCCGGGTCTCTCGCCGATGCTCTAACCGCTGAACCAAACTGGCCAGGGCCACACCAGATCCTGATGCCAGGCACTGGGCTAAGCCTTAGGGCAGGTACACAGGTGAAGCCTGGCTCTGAGCTTAGCTCCTGGTGCTCTCCCAGGTGTCACCTTGTGCCTCCACGAGAGCAGGGATAAGGCCCATCTCATTACTGACATGTTCCCTGGGACTCCTCGGGCGGTGCTTCTGAATTAAGTTATGGCTCACTCAGTCATTCAGTAAATACCGAGCCCCCACGCCATGCTTTCTCCAGTGGGGGATAAAGTGAGAAAGCACCCAGACCCCCACCCTTATGGGGCTTTGCTCTGCGTGGGGTTTGAGTAGGCGCTCCTGAAGGCTGGCTCATACACTGCCGCCCAAACTCCTCAGCCCTCCTCTGGGGACAGCTGCAGTCAGTGTGGCCCAGAAGGGTCACAGAGGCTCTGACCAGGGCATGCGGTGGGCAAGGAGAGCAGAAAGAGTATCCACTGTTCCAATCTGATTTTATTGAAAAGGAAACATACAAAAATCATGTACAAAAAAAATTAACCAAACATGTACAGAAAATTCATTCCGGTATCTACAGCAGCGCATATACAGTAATTTACAGGCTGGGCCATCCCTCCCCGCTCCCAGACTCCTCCCTCTTCTGAGATTCCCCCCTCCCTGACTCCCCGTCTTCCCCCCAGCGCTTCGCCCTGGGGACTAAGGCTGGGGCGGTTTCGCCAAAATATCCCACCCCCCAAATGAATGCCAGTGGTCACACGTGCTCTCTCTAAACCTATGCAATGGGATTGATGGGGCGGGGGGTGGTCACGGGCAGAGCACAGGATTCACAGTCTGGGCCCCTCCTGGCCACCCCCAGATGAAGGTGAGGCAGGCATGCCCACCACCCGCCGGCTGGCTCAGGGAAGATGGCTGGGCGCTGGGCTGGGGCAGCGGTCAGACGCACCCCGTTCTCTGGCTCCAGGAGGCTAGTGGTCACGTTTGGCTCATTTGTTCTTCACGGGCCCCCTCCCCAGGAGGAGGGGGGGAAGCACCAGGGGCCTGAGGTCAGACCCAAAGTGAAGGAGCACTGGGAGGGAGACCCCCCAGTGGCACCCCTGCAGCTGGAACGGGCAGCCAGCACCAGCAGCCTTTCCTGAGATGGTGGTGGGCGGCAGAGGCGGGCGGCTCAGTCCCCACCCCCTCGGTCACCGCCGCCTTCAGACGCTGAGTCCATCAGCCCTCTCTCCCCTGGCTTCTCAGCCAGGGACCCAGGAGTCCACGTCTCCATCAGTGCACCCCAGGCTAGGCCGGGGCTGGGTCTGGAGTGGCTGCCCTGGCCCGCCCCCGGGACAGGCAGGGCTGGTAGTCCAGTATGCTACATGGTGCAGAAAACGTCCCCTGCGCTGGCCAGGGCGTCAGGAGTGGGAGGGTCCTGCCCCCCAAGTCCCCGACGTCCACCGGGCAGGTGCAGGCACCTAATTGGGCTCCATCTCGGCGGCTCCGCGGCCCCTGTGTAAGGGCAGCAGTCTCATGATGAGATTGTACAGGACCCTCCAGGGTGAGGGGCGGTGTCGCTGCTGCTCCTCTTGTCTCTAGGGAAAGAGAGAGAAGAGGAAGTTAGAGAGTGGGCTTGTGACAGGGGCACGTGGGCGGTCAGGTCCAAGGGCAGGGAGGAGCAAGGCATGGTCCTGAGAGCGAGCTACACCCTCAACCTCTGAAGTAGGTGCTATCATTGTTAGTCAGACCCAAATCCCAGTTCCTCTGCCCAACTGGGCCAACGTCGTCACCTCAAGGGAGGACAGCAAGTGCTCATTTCCAGATGAGAAAGTCACCCAATCAGTCACATGGGGCTGGTCAGATGGAGAGAAGGGAGCAGGGAGCCCATAGTCTTAGGGATTCTAGAACAATCTGTGGAAGGAGGAGAACTGGGAACAGTCCGCCTCCCATGCTGAGGCTTCACAGAAGTACGTCCAGGCAAAGCTGAGCCCTGCCCTCTCTCCAGGGGCAGGACACTCTCAGTTCCAAAGTGTTAGCAAAGGGGCAAGAAGGCGGCTAGATACAAGACTCCCACCAGCAAAAGTGAAAGGCAACAGCACACTCCCACCACCATACAGGGAAGGAGGAACCCATCTTAGAGATCAGATAAGCCATCCAAATGATCCCAATAGGTGCCTGGGTGGGATGCCTGGTACCAGACCCTGCCTCCTTACCACTTCCCACCAACTCTTGTAGCCAGGAAGTAGCAAAGGGGGCACATTAGACTGGCACAAGTTTAAAAAGCCCGCTATCCTTACACAGCTTCGGGGTGCTGCGTGGTGAGCCACCCTGGTGAGCAAGCTAGCAACCCTCGAATGAGGCTGAGGGTGGGTAGACCACCGGGCATCTACTGTGGAGACACAGGAGTGCCCCTGAAAATGCGTGTCATTTGGAGGAGCCAAAAACAAAAAGCCAATAGGTAAAATGTAAAGCATTAAAGGAAATCCTAAAGATCAAATACCGGGTAAACGAACAGAAACACTCTAGGTTGATCCAGTCAAAATGAGTGAATCAAAGCTCCTCTGCCCATATGGATGAAACCCTCGTATAAATTGAGAAGGGAAAAAGTTTGGAGAGAAACACACACCGTATATCATCTATATTACGCCCCAAACGCCCCACCGTCCTAAGCATCGTTTGTGGCCTGGTAAAGTGGAGCAAAAGGATCAACACCTGCAGAGGAATGGGACAGGCCAACTTGAGCGGTTTCCTTGGAAAGGGGGGAGGGGACGGCTCCCGGAGGGAAACAAGGGGCTTCACAACATCCGGTTTTTGTTTTTCTTTGAATAAGCAAGCAGTGCGGTGTCTTGTTCAGCTTGGACAGAGCGGGTGGGCGCCCTGATGTTTGTTTTTCTCTATTCTCTGCTGTAGGCTTCAAATATTTTGTTTTAATCAGAGGCGGGGCTGCGGGCGGGGGGCGGGGCCTCCCGCGGGGCGGGGCTCCGGGCTCCAGGCCCCGCCCCCGGCCGGCCCGGGAAGCCGTGCGGCGCGCTGCCCGCCGCGCGAGCGGGTGGGAGGGGCGGGCGCGGCTGCGCCGCCACTGCTGACTCACCGGCTATAAATAGCCCGGGATATATGAGCCGCGCCGCCGAGCGCCGCCCTCAGTCCCCGCGGCCGCGGGCCGGGCGCGCCGCAGCGCTCCAGGCAGCCCCGGCCCCGGCCCGGGCCACGCCAGCCGCCGCGCGGGGCCTTCGGCGGCTCCGCGGCCACGCCGCCCCTCCCACTGCCTGTCCCCGGCGCGACCCCGCCGCGCAGGGCAGCAGCTGCCGCACATCTGGCGGGGCCGCCCGCGGCCCCCTCCCCGGCGGGAAGTCCCACCTGCCGTCTACCCCTCCCCCCAGCACTCACCCGCCGCTCATACAGTGCGTCGAGGTCGTCCGCCATTCGCCGCAGCTGGGCCCCGATCTCTCGGGCCCACTGCTCTTCCTCCCCCCGGACTCCCGGGGCTGCTTGGGTGGGGCCGCCCGCCAGGGCCCCCGGGGCGCCGGGCACCGGCGATTCCAGGTGCTGCTCCGCGGGCGAGAGTGAAGGCTGAGGACCTGGGAAAGCCGACGGGTGTGGTCAGCACCGTGACCTCTCTAGGCCCTAAGGTGTTCCCGAGGGACTAGGCAGCCGCGGCCGGCTTCTCCCCTTTCCAGGCGCCTGATGACTCTTCTGCTCCCCGCCTCATTTCTAGCGATTCCGTTTTCCCCTCTTACACCCAGACTGGTCAACTCCGACGCCCCAGGCATCAGAAAGCAAGAAGAGGTCCTGGGGCGGCCTTTCTGGAGTCACCTGTCTAGTCTGTTTAGTGGGGAGGTCTTCCTCTCATCCCACCTAAGTACCTCTATTCCAAAACGGGGCCAAAGTATGCCTGCTCCATTTAACAGATGGAGAAACTGAGGTCCACCCTAAGAAGTTGCCCAAGGTCATACAGGGATACAGCCACTGACTACACCCAAAGTCACAAGCCTCAGGTCTCCTGCCCTCTCGTGTCCAACCACAGTGAAGCCACACCCCCGGATGTGGCAGGGGCCTGGAGACCAGAGGCCAGACTGGCTGCGTCTGAGCACGGGCCTGGGGGGCTGGGATGCAGGAGATGCCTTCCTGCCCCACCTCCTTCTCAGCTCCTCTGACGTCTCTTCCTCCTGTCACCCCAGGTCCTGGCCTCAGGGATCCCTAAGGCCAAAAACCAGGGCCTCAGTTTCCACACCTGGGACTCTGGTCTTAAACTCGAGTCCCCCCCTTGCCCCACTGCCAGGGAACTGAGTCAGAGAAGTTCCTCCGAGCCTCCGTCGGCTCCAGGGACCGGGTGGGGCTGGAGGGAAACCAGGACAGTATCCCGCCACCGAGTGCCGGCTGGGATGGGGCTACCGGGCACCACAGGGTTAACGGCCCATCAGGCAGGGGACCTTTAACCCTTCCCTCCCCAAGACTCACCACCCCCCAACATACACACTTTCCCAACACAATGGCCCCTCCCCCCTCTTCCTCCTCTCGGACAGCGCAGAGGGCGGGCCCTGGCCAAAAAGACGCAGATAATGGCAAAAGGCCACCCTCGACCCCTCCTCAAAGTCCTAAAGTGACCGTCCTCCTGCTCTGCCCACACTCTCTCCCACTACAACCTTCAGTGGGGCTAAGGGGACCCAGACTAGGGGAGAGGGGCTGGGAAACAGCTGTTGCCCCAGGCCCGGAAAAGGCCAAGGGCTGCAACTCAGGGACTGCAGTCAGATTCCAGGAGGGACTTCCCACTCGGCCTCCCCCTACCCCCAGCCTCCTACTCCGTCTTCCTGCTTCTTGCAACACAAAGACCACACTGGCCACACCCTCCCTGTGGCCCGGCTGCCTCGCCACCTCCCCCCACCCGCTCCCACTTGGCCAGTTCCTCAGTGTCTCTCTCGCTCCCATTATCCCTGGCGTGGGGCAGGCACTCACCGTCGGGGCGTGGGCCTCGGGGGCGGCTGCGGGGACCCCCAGGCCAGCGGGGGCCCCCTAGGGCGGCAGTGACAGCGGGCAGGGCGGTGGGGGCGCAGAGGTAGGCAGCTGGCAGCAGGGCAGGGGCGGCGGGGGCGGCGGGCAGGCCGGGCTCGCAGAGGCCGCAGGACACAGCCGAGGGCACTAGGCGGCTGAGCGGGAAGGGGCGAGGGCCCTCTCGGGCCAGGCCCTCTACGGGCTCCGGGGAGCTGCCCTCCTGATGTGCTCGGGCCATGGCTCTCCCTGGGGCCTGCAGGACAGGGAGAGAGGGGTGCCGTCAGCCAGCAAGTACAGGGGTCACGAAGGCCCCACAATACACAACCTCTACAGGGTCCCCAGGGCACTTCCACTCCTGCACATAGCAATGAACACACGTGGGGGGGGGGCAGGGATGGCACCTACCACACACACTGGTCCCAGATGGAGGGCACTGTGTATGTATGTGTGTGATCATCACACAAGACACACATCCACCTAGGGGCTGACCCAGGGCTCAGCAGAAGGCAGCCTCCCAAGCACATGGTGATGGGCACACATGAGAGACAGGGAGGTACAGGATGGCTCTCACAGCAAGTGAGCGTGCACGGGACCCAGATGCAGGGTTCAGTGTGTATGTGTGTGTGTGATGAGGGTTGATGGCCCCACAACACAAACTCACCCAACCTGACAGGGATTCACACTGACATGGGCTGGTGGGATTAACTTCTGGGACACAGTGATGGGCAAACACAGAGGGTAACCAGGCACTGTGATGGCTCCCCCAGCACACACAGGGACTCACGCAGGACCCCAATGGAGAAAACTTGCGGGTATGTGTGAAGGGTACACAACGCACACATATAAGGATTCAGGCAGGACTGGCCAACCTGACTTCCCACCTCATCTCCCATTTGCACAGAAACACTGAGATGTTCCGTGCTGGACATTACTACTCAGTACACAAGACACACACGCACACACATGCACACACACAGAAACACTGACCAAATGTGAACATACACATATACACACAGACCATCAGAATAGCTATACAAACAATGCACACTGTCTGGCACAACCCATCCCCTCCACCCTGCACCCCGTATACAAACTGTCAGAATCTCACACACTGACCCACTGTTGATATGCCCACAGACACACACACAATGCAGCCAACACAAGCACAGATAGAAACACACACTCAAACACACATACCCCTCCCCACACACATACACCACCCAAGAGTTAAGGTATATACACCTCAGGACTCACAGACATATCAACACAAAATAGACAGACACACACAGACCAACACAACCGAAACACACCCACTTGTCACCAACTCTTAGACCCCAGACCACATGTAAATCAGGCACACACAGACACATGTCACCGGACCCTGATGCATTACCACACATGTCAGCAACGACACACAGACACAACAGCAGAACAGCAGACATCAACCCACCCTCTTCCCCCAACCTCAAAACACCATCACCAACTGTCAGCCCCGGACACACACCACACACACCAGCTAACTCTAATCCCACACAGCCCTGGCAGCATGCACACCTAAAGCACCCACTGAAAACACTGGTCTCACGTGACTGACATAAACACTACACACACGCAGCCCACATGACACACATGAGCCAGCCCATCGCAGAGACAAACCCCTCAGACCCAACACACACACACACACACACACACACGGGCTCAGACACAGCCCTATGCAAGAGGCTGACAGCAACACCCACTGACTGCACTGCACAGACCCCACAGAGACGGGTCCTCGATTCCCAGACACCGATGCCAGACACACAAGCCAAACAGAGGCAGAGACAACCCCCCCCAACACACACACACACCCCATGCAGAACTCACAGATACCTGGACAGAAAACAGACGCATTCGGCAGGCACACATCACAAACGCTTAGCTGAGACACATGCCCTGGAGATATACACAGTCACAGACACAGTCCACACAGGCAAGACACACGAGCACACACAAACAACACATCGGGCAGGATACACATATAAACACACAAACAGCTCACTCAAGCAACACACAACAACCATACACTAGCACACCCCAGCAACACAGACCCATAGAATCACCCCCAAACAGCACACATACACACAACTCTCACAGAGAACGCACACACACAGGTACGACACACATAAACAGAGCCCCCACCCCTCAGGCAGGGCAGACAGTACTCCACACAAACACACACGGGGACTCACGCACACACCCTGAAGGGCCACAGCCCCAACATTCCCCTGGACGGACACCACCACTCCCTGCGGACCCCAGCACAAACTCGGAGCCAGACACACGCACACACCCAGGCGAGACACCTGCAGATCCACAACCCCGCACACGCGCGCTCCCACGGCGGGGCCAGACGCCCCCCTGCGCTGTCACAGCCCCCCAACCCCGCCGCCGCCACGTGCGCCCGCCCCGCCCGCCAGGCGAGCGCGGGGCCAATAACCGGCTGTTGCTGGGGCGCAGCCCCCGCCCGCAGGAGCCGCAGACTCCGCGGCCCGCAAGCCGCCCCCTGTCGCCGCCCCCAGCGGGCGCGCGCCCGGGGTGTGGCCGCCCCTCCATTCCGTACCCCCCCGCCCCTCCCGGACTGCAGGGACCGGGGCAGTCGGGGTCGACTCACTTCCCCGGGGCAGCACTGGCCGCCAGGGGGCGCTGCCGAGCCCGCACCCCATTGTTTGTAAACAAACCCGCCAGATCGCGGAGGCACCTGCGCTCCTGGACCCTTAGTACCTCCAGCCCAGCGACCCCAGCCCAGCCCAGAGTCCCTCGTGGAGGTGGAGGGCAGGGAGAGCGGGAGGCATGCGGTGAGGTTGCAGTGAGCCCCCAGTGCTCTCCGCGTACACTCCCGCCACCTCCTCCAGGGAGGCCACCCGGCCTGGCCAATCGCGGCCGGCGGGGACTCGGGGTGCGCACACTCACCCCGGGGGCATGAAAACGCCGGAGGGGGCAGTGATGGGGGCGGGCGGCTTCCTTCAGGAGGGCGCGCCCGCCGAGCGCCGCTCTCTGCGGCTACTGCTGCTGCTGCTCTAACTGCAGTGGCTGCTGCTGTCGCTGTGGCTGCCGCTGCCGCTCGGTCCGCAGGCGCGTCCACGTCGTGGCCGCCGCTGCTGATTTTGTTGCTGCGGCCGCCAGCCGCCCGCTCGCATGTGGCTCGCGCCGCGTCTCAGGCCGCCCGGCGGATCCTGGGCCCGCTCGGCTGCCGCCCCGCCCCGCCCCGCCCCCGCCTGGCGGGTCCCACGCCCCGCCCCCGCGTGACGCCACGGCCCCGCCCGCCAGCCGTGGACAAGTCGGGACTTGCTGGCGCGCGCCGCGCCCCCTACCTCCTAGCGGGGGGTTTCCCTGCAGCGGGGGCGGGGCGGGGCCTGGCCCCGGGCGATGCGGGACAGCCGGACACAGACACTGACACACTGACACACTGACTGGGACCCACAGACACACACCCCCGGAACCACGCTCCAGGGTACACAAAGTCACGTGCTAACAGGGCCACGAGAACAAGCCGACTCAGACATACGGCCAGTTTCACAAATGCACACCTTGGACAGGGGCGGTGAGGACTCACAAACTGACCTGAGACACATGAACTCACACACACCCTCAAACACAAATACATAGACTGACTCTGACATAGTCACCTGGACACGCAGACTGACCCAGAGAACGACACACACAGGTGCACAGACCCCCACACTGATGAGCACATCCAGACCCACAAACCGACCGGTGGATTAAGTTCACATTTGTGACATTCCCCCCCCCACACACACACACACCTGTCACAGATACCTGGACATACAGCTTGATCTAGATGACACTCCCTCAGGGACACACACAAACACAGCCACACCAGCTCACAGCTGACACAGTAAAACTGTCAGAAGTTGACCCTCACAGACAGATCAAGTTAGACATAAAAGAAACTGGCCCCCAACACAGTCACAGTCACACCTGTGATAGGCTCCTGCTAACCTGCTAACTGGCTCACTGATAGGACACACTCCGGGAGCAGGCGCACCTGGCCACACTTGCCACAAATCTGGCAGGGAACCCAGGGCCAGAAGGAACCCCAGGCACCTGGCATGAACATGCCCGGGCAGACCCTGCAAGGACTCTCCACTGACTCTCACCCTGTCTTGTGGGTTTCAGTTCCCTTTCCCTTCTTAGTTTCCCCCTGTCACTCCTACCACAGCTCTGACTGGCTGACGCCTGTCCTTTCTTCCCCTGGGGCCTTGGGGCTCTATCCCCCTGCACTTTCCATTCCCTCTATGTCACATCCCTAAACCAAGTCACCACAGGGTGAGTTGCCTCTGAGTGCCCAGCACTGAGCTATCCAAAAAGGGATGCCAGTCCTGAGCAATGGTGGGCTTTCCAGGTGCTCAAACTCAGCTTTCTCCAGGGCCAGATCATTCAATTTCCCAAGAGAAGCAGGAAATGCAGACCTTACTGGAAATTTCCCTACTTTAAATACTGGGGACTGATTCAACCCCCCTCCCTCCCCCTTCCCTTCCCCTATTCATTCATTCCCTCTTCCTTCTTTTTTGCCTTCCAGTGTTTTCCAAACTGTGGGTTGTGAACAAACATCGGACTGTGAATTCACTTTTGTGGATCTTACTGGTTTTATTCAAGTTTATTGAGCTATATTTACACACAATAAAATTCACTCTTTTTCAGGGTATAGTTGGTGAGGTGTGATAAATGTACACGATTGCACACCACCTCAATCAAGATTCAGAACATTTCTGTCACACCAAATACTTTACTGTGCTCCTTATAGTCAGTTCCTTCTACCTGCTACTTTGAGCGGCTCTTGACCAGACTTTGAACACAATACAAAATAGAATATCATTAAAAAAAACAACAACAAAAAACCCACTATGAAATCAAAGTAAACTATTGTTTTGTGAAAGTTTTGTTGATATGTAGTGAATTCATATCAGGTCACAAATAAAGTGTATTTTTAAAGACCAAGTTGTTGTTTTTTTTTTTAATTTACATTTTCTTTTTATTTCTGTTTTTTTTTTTTTTATCCTCACCTGAGGACATTTTTGCATTTATCTTCAGATAGAGCGGGAGGGAGAGGGGGGGAAGAGGGAGAGAGAAACATCGATGTGAGAGAGACACATTGAGTGGCTGCCACCCACACGACCCCAACCAGGGCCGGGGACAAACCACAGCAGAGGTATGTGCTCTTAGCGGGAACTGAACCCGGGACTCTATGGTCTGCGGGTTGACGCTCTAACCGCTGAGCCAAACGGGCCAGGGCTTAAAGACCAAGTTTAAAGGCGTTTGAGAAATGCCACTTTAGACATTATTAAATGAGATCATGCATGCAAGTCATTGAGTGTAGTGTCTGACATGTAGTAGGCGCCCAATAAATGTTAGCATTTAACACTTGTGTAACTGGTTACTGTCAGTGTCTGCTCTGTGCCTGGCAGTGATGAAGTTAAGAGAGAGGCAGGCCCCAGCCCTGGCCTAGCTCACCGTCCAGCCTGTACCTCTCACTCACTGACCAGTGCCTTCAAGCTGCCCAATCTAGGACTAAACACCAGGAGGTCAGATGTGCTGGAATGATTTTCTGAGAAGAAAATAAGTATGAAGGACTGGAGGAATCTGACTTGGTGGGTAGGGGTGGGAGAAGGCAGGAGGGGACCAAGTGTCACCAGGCCATAAGCAGTGTCACCAGCTATGATCCTCCTTCCCACTATTTAGTCCAGATCCTGTTCCAAATGATGATACCTTATCTTTTAAGACCAGACCCACAGCTGTGGCCCATCCCCCCAAAGCCTACAGGGTGAGCTCACTAAGGAGGGTTCTGGGTCTAGATGGCCTGAGTTAGAATTCCCAGCTCTGCCACCTACTGGCTGTGTGACCTTGGGCAATGGTTATGTCTCTTGTGCCTCAATTTCTTCATCTGTGAGTTGAGACAATAAAGGACCCTATTTCACAGGATTTTGCAGTGAGAAAGTCAATAAAAATAAAGCATCAGGGCCTAGTGAGTGCTTAATACATGTTACCCAGCATTTCTACT